GACAAGGAGCGGGACGAGCTGATTGACAGGCTTTTTTCCCGCGTGGATGTTGGCACTTTGGCCAATCTGCTCTTGTCCCCGCCGCATAAGCTGTAGGTCGTATGAACATTGCAACGGGCGAAACGGTTTTTTCACCCCCAAGAAAGAGAGAATGATGTGGGGTCTCGGGAATGCAGCAAGTTTTTCTGCGTAATATTTCCTGACAAATTTTTTTGCGCAAGTTACACGTTGGAAGAGTGAGGGATTTAGGGGAATGGAAACGGTGGTTACCAAACTGGATGCAGATAGGAAAAGGTTATCTTTTCTTGTTCGATTTTCTTTATTTCTTCGCATTTTCTTCCAAATGTTCTCGAAAGTTATTCCTGAACATTTCTGAACAGGAAATCTTTTTAGTATGATTACATGAAGGGAAAGTGTATTTACTGTGAAATTCGGGACAGACATTTTCTGGATTATTACCCTTCAAAAATGTTTGGCGTAGTTTTGACGAACATAATTTTTTTCTTGGTTCTTCGTGATTCTATGAAAAATCCACGTGCTGAGAAATTTCAAGTGATGGAATTCATAATTTAATACATTAGCACGAAAAATTAAAGAAGTTACCTTGATTCCCTTCAATTTCTTAGAGGTTTTAGCGTACTCTTTTTAACAGCTTCTGTACATTCAGCAGCTTGCTTTTAAAAAATTAAGCCCCGAAAAGAATCCAGTGTTAAAAATCTTAAAATGTTCGTGAATTTGTTGTAGGGATTCTTCTGAAGGTCTGAAACAAACGTTTGTTGAAGTACGAAATTTTCGTTTTAATAATAATGCTCTACTCTTCTTTCGCAAAATTTAATCACAGACTCGAGAAATCGACTTTCAATAATCAAAGCCTTCGAATTATGTATTCGAATCTTCGGTAAAATGGAATCAACTATTGAAGAATCAACTGCCAGATTAATTCATGTTTCAGAGTATTTTCAGAATATTCAGCATCAAGCTTATTTTTCAACAGAGGAAAACAAACTTTGTTCGACTCAACGATTTTCTGGCTTGCGGAAACATTCAGTTAGTGATCCGTAATTTATTCGTTGGTGCCTAAAGTGGTAATAAATAAGGGGGGATTCTTGAGGTTGTCATTCCTTCGTGTTGATTCTGAATATTTGGGCTGCTGGTTGTTCACTCAGTATTATGAGAAATTTTGAAGCCGGAATTTTTGGAAGACACTTTTTGGAAAAACTTGTCAAGCATGCTTATGTGTAACTTGCGCAAGAAATACATTTTTTTGCAATGGAAAAACTTGAGTTCAAAAGGCAAAAAAGTAAAGTTACCCAAAACAAAACTTTTTGTGATCTGAGGAAAATTCGATCAGATGTGATTCTGCTCCATCGGCTGAGTTGTTTGCTCTTTTTTCTTTGTTGCGCGCATCCTGAATGGCTTCGTTTTCTCACGAGAATCTCCTTTTTGTCGGTTTTAGATTTTTTTTTTTTAGCTTTAATGTCACTTTCCGATGAGTGGCAGGGTTGAAATGGACCTGCCTGTGATCCCGGGGTAGAGAACTTGAACCCTGAAGCAGGCTTCCACCTGTTGTATGCGTGGGCAGTTGATTTCATTCCAGTCCCGTTTTGTTCAAACCTCAACTTGCTCAATGTATCTCTTCCACAATCTGTGAAAGAAATAATCTATGTCAAGATTTCTATTGGCTATGCGCTCTTGAGATGTAGTTGTGTTTCATGGGCGGTTTTCTTCCGTTCTCTCAAGTAAATCTTGAAACTAATACTCAGTTGATTATTTTTTTTGTTGCTCAGCCCACGGCTCTGTGATGTGCTCTTCGCTGGTACACCAGGTGCTCCTAACGTTAACGTAGAACTTGCGAACCAAGAGTTTGGCTTACTGAGTTTTCATGCAAATTATGTGCAAGAATCATATTTGCTTTGTGTTCATCGAAGGGAAGTCGGTGCCCGGTTTTTCTTTTTTTTAACGTTTTGTGATTTTGTAAGAGGTTACCAGGAATGGCATTGATGGGACGAAGGTATTCTGGGAGATGAAGGAATGTTGAGAGAAATTTGCAGGACACGCTCAAAAATAAATCCCGCGGTTCACATCTTTTGTTTTGTCCCTGCGGCTAGTGGAAGGTATGGGCAGGATATCTTGTGCCTAAACACACATGTGCCAAAATTGTTTATGGGAACATTGACTTGTTTTCCCAGCTGTACAAAAAATATTCAGACTTCCTGTTTTTTTTTTCTGTTTCGTCTCTTTTTTTTTTCTTTTCTCCCCGTCTTGTTCTCTTTTCTTTTTGTGATAGGGCTTTTAACCCGAGAACTCAAATTTGACTCCTCAAGGAGACCTGAGGAAGCTCCACTGCCAGATGCAGATTTAAAATCTGCTCAGTGATCCTGAAAACGTGGCTTGATTGAGGGGAGAAAAATAGAAATTGTGCAAGGAGACGGTCCTATGATTCAGGTTCATCTTGCCTTGCTTGTTAAGCAATTGAGTGGGTTTTAATGCATGGGAGTTTCCAGGGTTCATTCCTTGCTAAGGATAGCGAAAACGAAAAATAAAAGCAGGCTAGGCATATTTTTCATGCTGCGGCCTTGAAGTCGAAACTGCCTTGTGCTTGCCTCAAGTTTTCAGTTTCCAAGCAGTGATTAAAAGCAATTGCTTTTTTTCCTTTCTTTCGTTTTTTTGCCATCTTTAAAGCACCAATTTTGAAACTTCTACGCTTCCTTCCACTTTCTTGCTCTTTTCTTTTCCCGAACTTGACAAACTGTTTTTTTGCCAGGAATGCCTCGAAATTTTTTTCAATCTTGCCAAAACAAGTACACTTATCTCTTGAGAAGAAGAATCTCAGAACTAAGCTAGAGTTTAGCATTTCTAAGAAAATGCAGATTTCCTTTGGAAAGTTGCCTTTGGTGGAAAATATCCAACCTTGTCAAGAATTATTCGTGTTTCACTATATAGGTCTTCGTGGTGGCTAACACTGAATTCTGATTGATTCAAGTCTGGATATTTTCCTCTTCTGGACAGCATAGCGCACACCATTGGAAGGGGAAGTTTTTTTGGGAAAGTGCATTCTTAGCCTGAGGGCGTTTTGTGGGTGGGGTTTTCTGGGTGAGGTGACTTGAGAGGAAAGGGGGGCTTAGACGTTTGGGTGGGAGAAAAGGGTTACAAAGGGATTGTCGGTGCTTTTTTTTTTCCTCTTGTGTCAGCAGGGCTGGAGTTGTTCCCATTCCTTCATTACTCGAAGTTTTGTTCTGAGGTTCAAGGTATTTTGGAATGGTGGTCAGGCGGTATTGCATGAGTCGCCGGTATTGTTAGAGCATATGGTTATGAGCCGATAAAGAGTAAGACAAAAATTTGAGCTGGTGTTGGAAGTCGCGGGTGCTGTTTGGAAGAAAAAGAAGTCGAGCGGATTTTTCAGCATTCGGTTGGTTGTTTTTTTGAGACGCAAGACGGGGTGCGATGTCAATCACTACGGTTTGATTGGGAGGTTGGCGGGGGATGACGCGCTCATGTTGTTTCAAGTATAAACTGTGTTCGGAATATGTGTTGGTGCAGTTTCATTTCACTTCTTTAATTTCTTGATGGCCTGTGTTTTATAATTGTTTCTCACACTCTAAACCTTTTTTTCAACTAAGGAAATGCAGTTTTGAGTTGGTGAGGTTAGTTGAACTGAAGGGCTGATGATGCCGGGGACTAAAAAAATTTTGGTTTTGGATGTCCAATTGCAAATGAAAAGGTTCCTGAAAAATCGTAAGGCCTTTGTGTTTAATTCTGTAGTTTCTTTTTTATTTGAATACAGTACATATAGCCTTGCAAGATAGTAATCATTGCTCTGACGTGATGTGTAGGTATGCTCAAATTCACCAGAAAAATTGCTATTAATATCAAATTCAGTTATGTACTAAAGTGAACAAAGTCAAAACATATTTGGGTATGCTTGGTGATACAGTTGGATTTTGGATACCTGCTGCTAGTGATATACATAGGTGGGATTTTTGTCGTGAACTTGATTTATTAGAAGGTATTTAGTCTGGGTATACCAGCACACTCACTTTTCCCACAAAATACTGGAAGAAAAGAGCTGGGTGATGTGTGTTATTTGGGTACAGTAATGTGGGCAACATTTTCAGAAAGATTGGTGCATATCAACCTGTACTTCAAACTTTCAAAGATAGAATCACTGGCAATAAGTTCTCCAGTGAATATACTGATGATTCTGCTGTAGGATTGACTTCTAAATTCGAAGGTAGCGGGAGGAAATTTGCTGGGAAGTCACATCAATCCAAATCAATTTGACTAATTTTTCCTATCCTCGTTTTCTGGGGCTGACTAAAAATTTATTTATATAATGGGAAGAATAATTTTGTAATATTTCCTAGAAATGTGGGTGTACGTTTTAAGGGGAATCTGTATTTGCCTAAATCTTTTCCCAATAACCTTGGTGCCCGTGTATATCAACTTCTGAAAATACTCTGAATTCCTTGAGAGGTGTGAACAGAAATTCTCATTCCTGAAAGAGTTTCAAAATGTACATTATCTAGAAAATATATTTCAGCCTTCCTCAGAATGGTCAAATGTGGCTGACATGGTGATATGTTTGGTAATTCGCATATGTACCTAGGAAGAAAATGATAATGCTGAGATTGATCCATACACCTGTTCCGAAAGCCTGTTAGATCGAGTCATTTTCATCAATGGTGGTATTGGTAGCTAGTAGCCAAATTTGAGTGAGTAAATGTGCATGTGTCCCCACATAGCAACTTCCATCAACAAGGAACGCGGAATTTATCTTCGATTCACCTGCTTGGGTGATCAGAGATCTGATCAGGTTCACCGCTTGTACACCCACCATGTGCGACAAGCTCGCTCCGTCACATTTGACATGGCGGCCGCGTCCTACGAGTCTGATGTGTTATTCAGAGGGAATTGTGGTAGAGTCAGTGAGCGCAGCGTGTTGATGGAAGTTGGATTTGTGTTAATCGTGAAAGTTGCACGCTCTGACAGTTAACTTACGCTTGAATTTTACAGAACATATCCATCGGACAGTCAAGTCGATTGAACGCTGTGTTGCGTGTTCGATAGAAAATGAGCTATCACATGCAACATCAAGGATTACGGCAAGGTAAGACGTCGCGTTCGTACGTTATTCATTTTCATTTTGTATAATGTTTCATTTGGTTCTAGCGCACGGTTCATACCCTGGCCAAGAATTGAACCCGAAAGAGCAAACTATGATGTGGCAGCAAGGGAACTTCATGGGGCCGGATTCAGGCGTTCATTCCGGTGCGACGACGAATGCTCCGTCGTTGTCGGGAAAAGATACGGATCATGACATGGATACGACTTTATTCGATTTGGACTCCGGTTTCACCCAGGGTTATACCCATGAACAAGTCAACGGTGAGTTCAGTGCTTTAAATTACTTCGTGTACTGTACTTCGCACACTCAAAATTTTGAATTGTGTATTGTTCACAGAAATGAATGCGCAGTTGAACCAAACGCGCTCGCAGAGAGTCCGAGCTGCGATGTTCCCCGAGACACTGGATGAAGGGATGGAAATTCCGTCAACTCAGTTTGACCCATCGCAGCCGACTGCCATTCAAAGATTGGCTGAGCCTTCTCAGATGCTCAAATGCGCTGTTGTCAACCTCATCAACTATCAAGATGATGCCGAGCTCGCGACTCGAGCAATTCCGGAGCTGATCAAATTGTTGAATGACGAAGATCAAGTTGTTGTCGCTCAAGCCGCAATGGTTGTTCATCAGCTATCGAAAAAAGATGCTTCGTTGAGGGCGCTGATGAACTCCTCGCAGATGGTCTCCGCTCTCATTCGCGCTTTGTCGACTTCCAACGATTTAGAAACCACGCGGGTCACTGTTGGTACCTTGCACAACTTGTCGCAGCATCCGCAAGGCCTTCTTGCGATCTTCAAATCCGGCGGGATTCCAGCTCTCGTGAAACTCCTGAGTTCCCCCGTTGAAAGTGTGCTTTTCTATGCAATCACGACTCTTCACAATCTTCTTCTGCATCAAGAAGGCGCGAAGAAAGCCGTGAGACATCACGGGGGCTTGCAGAAAATGGTCGCGTTGTTGCAAAGGAACAATCATAAGTTCCTTGCGATCGTGACTGACTGCCTGCAGATCCTTGCTTACGGCAACCAGGAAAGCAAGCTGATTATTCTAGCATCTCAGGTTAGTATTCGTAATCCTCGAGATTTTCACCGTTTTTTTGGTCTGCTGGTGGAGAATCGAACTTTTTTAAGGATCAGTAGAAGTCGTAGATCTGTATCACATAACCTTTTGAATGAATTAATGAGGTGAAACATAATGCTAACCATGCGATTTATCTTTGTAATTCTCAATTCCATTTCCAGGGACCCGTTGAGTTGGTTCGCATCATGAAAATGTACAATTACGAAAAGCTGCTCTGGACTACATCCCGAGTGCTGAAAGTCTTGTCTGTTTGTTCGAGCAACAAGCCTGCCATCGTTGAAGCTGGTGGCATGCAGGCCTTGGCAATGCATCTTGGAGGATCTTCGCAGCGTTTGGTTCAAAACTGTCTGTGGACGCTTCGAAATCTTTCGGATGCTGGAACAAAAATCGTAAGTGATCCTGAATAATAAATTGGGTGCCGTTACCTTCGGTTTTGTGAAATACGGGTGATATATTTTGGAGAAAGTGTGTCGTGCAGAGAATGAAGGATTATTAGAAAGAAACGAGCTGTTGACGACATTTAGGACGCTAGTGTTTCGACATCACCTGTAGATGACCAATTACCGTCATGCCTTTTTTGAATTCCGGGCCTGGAATCTCGTCGTTTTCTGCCCGTGAGGCTTTTCAATTGAGGATTCTTGAGACATTTTACACAGAAGAATAAGAAAAACTTGTCTTCACAATTCTGTATTTCTCTTCTGTTTACTGGCTTTCGATGGCGATAGAATTTTCATGATTTGTCGCAGGATGGCATGGATACATTGTTGAGGGGATTGGTGCAACGCCTGTCATCGAACGAAGTGAACATCGTCACTTGTGCTGCTGGTATCCTGTCCAACTTGACTTGCAACAATCAAAGAAATAAAGTCATCGTTTGTCAAGTCGGCGGTGTGGAGGCGTTGGTTCACACAATTGCCAATGCTGGAGACCGCGAAGAAATCAGTGAACCAGCTGTAAGTACACTGCAGATTTTGATGAGTGCGAAATGGAGTCAGATTTCTGCGCGCAGGTGCAAACTAAGTGTTATATAAAAGCGTTCAAAAATTGATTATTTCCTTGGAGTATTTTTGTACATTTCCGGTTTCACTCATTTCTAAGATGCCCTACCTAAAAGTCATTGAAGCATTCGAAAAAGTCGGATTTTTGCACTTTTTCCGCCTGGCAAAAGCCACCTCTGTACCGTAAATGCAACTCGCAAACCATTGATAATTTATTAATTTTACGGGGTAGCTTGGATTTTTTTGTCGGATCTGGTTTGGAAATAATTGTGAAAGACGAGAAATCCTCTTGGACAGAAATTGGAATGATGTAATAATATAATTCATACTGCTGCTCTTCTTCCTTGTGATATCATTTTTGTGTAAAATGAAATTTTGTGTGAGTTTTGAAATGTAGCATGACTTGCGTCATTGGTGTTCAAAGATTCTGAAAATTTTTTTTTTTCAGGTCTGTGCGCTGAGGCACCTGACTTCTCGTCACGCAGAAGCAGAAGTTGCTCAAAACGCAGTTCGTCTGGCCAAGGGAATTCCTGTGATTTCCAAGCTCCTGCATCCCCCATCGCGTTGGCCACTGATCAAGGCTCTCATTGGACTTATCCGCAACTTGGCGCTTTGTCCGGCTAACCACGGCCCACTGAGAGAACAAGAAGCTATTCCGCGGCTCATTCTTCTGCTCATCGAGGCTTACAAAGAAGTCGAAAGGGTGAGTTACTTTCCGGTCACTGCTGCTTTTCCTCAAATCCGTATGACTGATCCAGCGAATTTTAAAAGTGGAATGTACTGCCTAAAATCGCGTGAACACTGAGATTGTTTTTGTTTTTATCTGCAGAAAAATGTTGGACTTCCTGGCAACCAGCCTTCGCAACCAGTTTACGTGGATGGTGTGCGGATGGAGGAAATTATCGAAGGCACTGTCGGTGCGTTGCACATTCTTGCGAGGGACCCGCACAACCGTGCAATCATTCGTGGCCATAACGTCATTCCCACCTTTGTTAGCGTGAGTGCACAATTGTCTGGATCCAACGATTGTCGTATGCAAATTTTGAAAAAATCCGGTTTTATAGTTTTATTTCTAGACCCTCCGCGTGGCGTTTATTACATCATACTGATTAATTCACTTGCTAGAAAACCGACCGAATGGGATTTTTTCAAATTAAATTGGTACATTTTTGTAAATAGAAGGAATGTGGGACTGTCTGAAAAAATGGTAACTACTGTACTTTGGAAATCATCCTAAAAACAGAACACCTGTTCGGAGTTGGGGGAAAAGTGTTATCTTTTCAGGGAAAATCCGAAGATGATTCATTCATGACTAATCCAGCAAACGAGATTAAAAACAAATCATGTTTCTGAGGATGTCAGAATTTCCCCACGCGCCAGCCATTAGTCATAAACACAGAAAAGACAAAGAATACTAATTTTTTTCCGTGCATCGAAAATTCTTTTTTCTTGGTATCATATCACAGTTCAGAAAAAAGGTATTTGCTTTTTTAACCCTTTGCCTTGCCTTTTCCCATGACTGACAGATGTCACCTGAATTTCCATACTGGTCGAATGACAGAATTTGCGAAGTAACCTAATTCAAATACTGTACCGTACTATACTGAAAAACCGAACCATTTCAGGCGACATCTATGGCATGGAAATAAAAGTAGCGGAATTGGGATCGTTAAACCGAAAAGAACTGAAGTACTGTACATACTTCATCTGAAAAAATGCCAGTGTGTCTTATAAAAAACTTTCACCAGGAAATGCGTTTTCTTGTGCGAGAACTTAATTCGAGTAACAGCATTGTTTCCTTGCATTTTATTAGTAAATTGTTTTCAAATTTTCTTCGCTGTGCGAGATCCAAATTCATTCCTTGAGAATTTTGATCTTTGACTCGATAACAGTAACTTTGTTCTGCATGCTGTTAATTTTTTTTTTAATCGTTATCGAAAACAGTTGCTGTTCAACGAGATTGAAAATATCCAACGAGTGGCGGCCGGGGTTTTGTGCGAGTTGTCGACGGAGAAGGAAGGCGCCCAATTCATTGAGGCGGAGGGAGCGACTGGGGTGTTGTCGGAGCTGCTGAATTCACATAACGAAGGAGTCGGTGAGACGATGTTGAAAGATGTTATCTACTTTCCGTAGCCTGCTTTTTTCCGGTGATTCAATCCCATTCGGACTCTTATCTCGTACGCGTGGGAAATGCAAATAATCGTTGGGCAGCTGTCAGAAAAGACACGCCGCCTTTTTTGTGGACTGGATTAAGCGTCCGAACAGTTATTGTGTGGTCAGAAAATTGTAATCCCATTTGTCAGAAAATGCTGCTTTCTCCATTACGGTGTGATTCGTTTTTTTTGTGAGAATAAATTTAAATAGTCAGTACTGTATATTGTAACGACATTGATTTTTTCGAAAGGGAAATTTTGAGCTTTATCGAAAGTACTATGTCCGCAGGGTGTGCGGTTGTATCGAAATATATCTGTCCATTATGATTGTTGTTTTTGTCATTTTTGCTAGATGTCGCTGGTAGTCACTGGATTCGACGGAGTTCGTCGTAATTTAAATAAATTTTTGTGGATGTCGATGATAGTCACTGTAACATATTGTAATTTGCACCTTTTTCTTGCGTTTGTTTTCCAGCAGTAATAAGCTGATTTTACTTTCATTCGTGGTAGAATTTTTATATAATGATGAGTAATGTTTCTTTGCATTTTTCCTGCTACGCACCCCTCTCTAAACTCTGCGCATGTTTTGTGGAAGATCTTACGCAAACAGGATTAGCTTCTTATGATGCGCAGAAATATTTTTGCGAACGAACCGTGTATTGGATGATCACTGGAAAAGGTTTTGCAGATACGTTAAATTTGCTGGCTTCAAACGAGAACTGCAAGAAAAAATTGTTTCTCGGAAGCCTGTCAAAATTAGTGCTATTTGGATCATGTTGCGGTTCATTTGACTTTCTTCTATAAAAAATTGTATCTGTTCATTTCGCAAATTGAAAAATGTCATATCTTTTGTGTGTTTCAGCTACTTACGCTGCAGCTATTTTGTTCCGCATGTCGGAAGACAAACCCCAGGACTACAAGAAGAGGTTGAGCCAGGAGTTGACCAACTCTGTTTTGTTCAAGGATGACCCATCTGGAGCTTATTGGGGCGGTATGTTCGTTTGTACGACTGGAAAAATGCGTGGAATCCCACGTTAATTCTTGGTGTTTCTTAGTTGCATGCAAAACGTGTTCTGTTCATTTTTGTCTTGTCTTGTGCTGAGTAGGATCGGAGATGAATGGTGGCATGATGTCGGACATGATTCATGCAGTTGATCAGCATTATGATCAGGCGTACGGATCCGGGCCGCCGAGTGTACATTCCGGTCATGTTGGTTCGCGCAATTACGCTCCGATCAATCAAGGTGGGAAGATTTGACCAACTTATCATTCAAAATTGACGTGCGAATTAATTTAACAGATTACAAACTTATCCGGTCGAATTGGAAATTCGTTACGCGGAAAGGCGGCAGAATTGTGAAAATGGAAATCTTCATTAAATTGCTAATGCGTTTCAAGGGTCTGAAAATATGATGAAAAATTCCTTGGAGTTGCTTCAGTTTTTGAAACATGAAAGACCCCTCCCCACAGAAACTAGGGACAATATCAAAATCATCTTTAAAAAAAGAGTTTGCTGCCGCCAGATTTGCCGTCGAAAGTTGGATTGCAATATTTTAATTGACGATTCTTTTGTGCTCTTTCAAGATGACTTGGTTCGCGCAATTATGCCAACATTTTTTCCAATCGAATGCTGCCTATATTTTTGATCAATCTTCTGAAAAACTGTATCTTTTTTCTCAAGGAATCGACTCTATGGATACCGTGAATGACCCGTATGGAACAACGGGAATGGACGCAATGGACTTCCAACAGCACATGGGTGACATGCCTCGTGGGATGGGTTCTCGTCAAGGAACCCTGCCGCACCAGCACATGGGTGGCCCAGGTGTTGTCCCAGCACCGCCGCAAGACAACAACCAAGTGGCAGCTTGGTATGACACTGACCTTTGATCTATATGAAACTGACAAGACATGAGGCTTACAAACGGAACGACTATGCGAAGAAATCCGTGTATTTTTCTTTGTGAATTGTAAGTTTTGTTCAAGCTTCTTTCTCCCCCCATATTGTTTTCAAGCAAACTTTTTTTAAATATTGATCTTGCACGAAAAAGCTTGGGTTTTCTTATTTAAAAGTTTTTTCAACTAGTAAGACACGTTAGTTTGTCAGAATTGGTTCATTGATGCACCAAGAAATCAAGTGTGATTGGGAATCCATCTTTCACTTGATCTACTTGGATGAGCAGCTTCAGAAATATTAAAGGTGTGTGGAAGGGGTAGATTCAGTTTCTATTTATATCCAGATCCATGGATGACTCCTTTTGAATCTTCACTTCGTGGTTGAGTTGAACCAATTCTTGTTGATTTGAACCTGAACGAAGTTTGCGCGGCATTTACTGTGACTGTCATGACGCGTTGTCTTGCGGTGTTCGATGTTGTTAGATATTTTTTGACAGAAGGAATCGTTTCATATGTCGTTTGTAAAAATGTCTTACGAAACTGGCAACAACATTTCAAGCATTCCGATCACATTAGAACATCGAATTTTTTTATTTCTTGGAAAGAGAGCTACGGATGGGTGGATAGAATTGTCTTTCAGTAATGGGATCAAGCTGGAACTGATTTATCTTTTTTTTATTTTCTCGGTTACTTTCTGCTCGAAAACAACCGAGAAATAATGAGTGCGGAATATGCACCTGATGGTGGCCATATTACGACGTGTGGAGCACGTCGCGGAATATTGGTAGTTATGATTCCTTTTGGGAAGCTTGTCCCACTTTTTCCCGTATTTGCGCTGTTGTGAACTCACTGGAGATTCCATCACGTTTCTTATCAGGCGTATCTGAAACATGTATTTGTGGATTTCTTGTACGGAAGTTTTATTGTGTACAATAAAAGAGATGGATTGTTGAACAATCGTCTTTTTAATTGGCTCGTCAAAGAAATGAAATATCTGTAGTGCTTGCATGAGTACGGTGATGCTTTTCTGTTAAGCCCCTGGTGAGGGTTGGTGGGGGAAGTTCTGTAGAGATCTCAATATGTGTAAAATAAACAGTTCATCTTTGGTTCTTGTAAATGTTCAGTCCTTGTGTAGACTACTGTACTTGTGTCTCAAAACATTTGGCTATCTGATAGGACACTCCTAGAATTAACTTGCAGCAGTTCAGTTGAAGGTTGATACATTTTGAGAAAAAGGCCAACATTTCCAACTTGGAACGAAAGTTAGTAGATACAGTCGGCAACATTTTTCGAACAGAACATATTGAAATATCAAGGTAGAGTATATGGGCAAATCAAGGGGGCTTTGCAATCATTACAAATCATTTTGAGAACCCACTCTTGGTCAGATTTGAATCCTTTTTTTTTACAATACCTACTTGGGATAAAAGTCGAGAAAGTACCAGGGGGTATGACAGGAAAGTACCACCACATTGTGATTTCGCGAGGCAAAAGCTGCAGTACGTACACATGCGACATACCTCATCATGCACTTGCACTCGTTAAGATCAGCACGAATATCCGTGAATTCAAAGCAGCAGCTGCTGCGTGATTGCCAGGAAAAGGGAATGAACCATAGTACATTCCATTTCCAAAATAACACACGCTGTCCGTCGCTTCTGTTAGTATTAACCATGTTCGAGGCATGTGAACTGACCTCGTCATCACTGAGTTCACAACCCGGAAGGGAACGCATGCAAATCAAGTCCTGAGCTTCTGCTTGTCAGACAGCCCCTCGAAAAACACAATGTCGGCAACTTCCTGTCCTCCGTTCTCCTCCTCCAGCTGATGGTGCGCCTTCTTCATCTTCCGTTTGAACTCCAGCATCCGCTTCCGCCGCTCGTCCGCCACATCGCTGACGCCTGCTGCGGCTGATGCTGTCGACAGAGAAGCTCGTTCCTGTCGCTGGATTCTCTTGCTTGCTGCCTCGCCTGTCTTATTATTGTTGGCTTTTTTGGCAGGGCGGCTGCTGCTGTTGTTGCTGGCACCAGCGGCAGTTGTCGCTGATGATGATAATGGCAAGAGGGTGTCGGTTTCTGAGAACCCGTGATGATGACCTTGCAGGGACTCCGGCTCGGGTCTCGTCTGCCAGTTGTTGCTTTTCAGCTCCTGGATTTCCGCAAAGGTTCTGTTGATTTCGTCGATCTGAATCCAGACCAGATCCCAGAAACCTGCTAAATCCCCCGCCAGCACCTTTTCTTCACTTTCACTGGGCTTCTATAAAAATTGAAACAATATAAAACATGTTTGAGAACAACGTTCAAGAATCCCCATTTTTTTACGATTGGAACATCATACCAATATCATTTCAAGAAGCCAGCACCTGCAACAGATTATTTTTATTGTATTATTGAGGCCTCAGTCTACATCTAGAAGCTGAAGAAAAATGCAAACGAACAATTTAAATGAAGAACTATTTTCAATATGGAAGCACTGGGAAATTAATTCGATCAGGGTTCAATTCAAGTTAAAAATTTTACTTTTGAGTTCGACACACTTTATTTGCAAAAAAGTTACCCTTTCTTAGTCACTATATATGGGGTGTGTGGCATACTGGGGGACAGGATTTTGGCCAAATTTTAGGCTTAGAAAATAAAGTATGTGTCTCATTCTCAAAGATGCCTTTACTCAAGCAAATATGGTACAGTATATACAATATTTAACCTAATCTCTACATTGAATTTGTTTCAAAATCCCCATCTGATCCCCTTATATGAAACAATCCATTAAAAACCTCCCTAACTCAAAGGCTTTTCCTCTAAAACCTCTACCATAACTCAAATTTTTAGAGGCCTTTTGGCTATTATTTTCTAGGCACAGGAAAGAGAAAAGCAACAGAAAGTAATGTTGCTGTGTTTTGAAAGAAAGTGAAAGACTGATTGGGCAAATCAACCCCTAACTGTTGCCTCTAAGTTCAGCATCCTAGCTGTCAACTCATTTAAGAAGAAATTTAAGGCCCAGAATATCATTTGCAATTTCCTTAAATTCTTATAATATATACAATATTGTATGGTAATGTTTCCAACAAGAAAAATGCTTGTTATTCCAAGTGTATATATGTATAATTTTAATTTTGATGCATTTTATTTTCAAAACATAGTCCTTTGTTAGTCACTAAAGATAAGTAGCACATCATACTAGGGGACAGCTGGGTTTTGGCCATATTTTATGCTCAGAAAATTAAAAGTGCTTCTTATACTTGAGGGTGCCTGTGCTCAAGTAAATATGGTATAAATTTATTTAATTAATCTCCCCAAAACAAAATTTGTTGCAAGTCCCCATCTGAATCCCTCAGAAATACTCCATTAAAAATCTCCCTAACTCAAAGGTTTTTCCTCTAAAACCTCTGTAACTCAAATTTTCTTAGGCCTTTTGGCTATTAATTTCTTGACACAGGAAAGATAAAAGCAATGAATGAATTCTTCATGTGTTTTGTGAAAAAAAAAACTAAAAACTAATTGAGCAAATGAAACCCTGCCTCCAAGTTCAGCATCTTGTCAACTCATTTAAGAAGTACAGTAATTTAAGGCCCAGAATATCAACATTTACAATTTCCTGAAATTCTGATACGCAGTATTTAAATATATATGCTTCCCACAACAAAAATGATTGTTTCCCTAAATCCCCAACTCAAATCCTCGCTAAGTCGAATTTGTTTGCAGGTCACTCGAAATTCGACTTAGAGAGGTTCAACTGTACGTATATATGCTATACCGTATATTGTATATATAAATTAATATCATGCATAATATACTGTATCTCACTAGATTCTTGTCGCACAGGGACCTGAACTGTGCGAATTTCTGGTCCCGCAACAACCTGGCTTTTCCCACTGCTGCTCTCAGACAACCGCAAGTCTCCTCGGGCACCGTTCCGCTTGTCAAGTCCTGCTGCACTTCGTCAACCAAGACCTCGATCCTGCGCGTCTCCTTTTCCATTACCTGGCACGAGAAAAACCGCATCAAATCCGTCAAAAGATTTAAAAAAAATATATACGATACTATAATACTGTAATCATCATCATGATCATTCGGCAGATGAATGGGGCATGAAGGTCGCCAAGCAGGCTCCTTTTTTACACCCTGACGTTAACAACAGCGGTCTTTATCGAAGAGAATCCTCAGAGCATATGAGTCATGATGACGATTCAAGGGCTTTTACATGCGAGGGTTGGCTCATAAGTTTTGAGACTTTTTGAAATAAATCCAACAAAATTTCAACAATCAAAAAGAAAATCATATATTTACATTTACTGTACTCGCGTAACATCATCATTTGGCAACACTGCAGTGCTGTTATTCAAAATACTCTCCGCCGATTTCAACGCATTTTTTTTTTCATGTGATGAATCCAATGATGACCAAAACAGTCCAGAAAATTGAGTTACGTTATTAGTTGATTCGGATGCTCTTCGACGACGGAAATGACACCGTGTTTCCGTCCTCAAAAATAAATCCCTTTGTGGTTATGTCCTTCACTGCTGGGAACAGCCAGAAAGTCACAGGATGCCCAATCAACCAACAGAACTCAATTTTTGTCACTGTTTTAATCATGGGATTTATTCTAAGAGGATCAACACAAATTTCAAAAATGCATTTAAAACGGCGGAGAGTCTTTTGAACAGACTGACGTTTTGTTGAAATATGGAACTTTGCGAGTAAAAAAAAATTTTTTTTTCAAAGTTTAAATTACATTGAATACGCTTAAAAACGTCTCAAAACTTGCAAACCAACGCTTGTGCAGGGATGGCACCGACATGTGGACGCCCCTATATATATATATACAGTGAGACCCCCACATGCAGACGCCTCGACTTGCAGACAATTCGACATAGGGACCATTATTTTCCCAGAAAAAATTAATAAAAATGGCCCAACATGAGGACACTGACTCAACATTGGGACATTTTGTGATAAAATTGCAAATACATTTCAGGCCAAATTACAATTCTGAAGAATATTTCTTCCACAAAAAACCAATTGAAAAGTATATAATGTAAGTCTATGGGAAAACAAGACTTGACTTAGGGACATTTCGACTTGGGGAAACTCTTGATGCACCAATTACGTCCACATCTTGGGGTCTCATGGTACACAGAGCGTTTCGACTCAGGGACATTTATTGATGCCTTCGTTTCTCAAAGAATCGCTGCTCAACATCCGGTTGCTGCAATAAATTGAGTCACGCGTGGTTTTATATAGCGTAAATAAATTCGCGAGATGATGCAAGGTTATCCAAGTTGGATTTATCTTCAATTTCGTAATTTAGTTCCCCCCCTTCGGGACATCCACCTGCGTCGATCTCGTTTTAAAATTTATACCAGCCACTTGCTTTGAAGAAAGTGGGTGTACGCGGAAATTTTAAGATGCATATCTAGGCGATAGTCAAAAATATGTAGTACATTACAAAGGAAGGTGCCGCTCCTTCATTTTGCCGAATACCTTCTCCTATATCCAAACTTCGAGAATTCTATACACCAGCTGGGAAAAAGTATGCGCACTTTTAGTTCATCAATTTCATAGAAACCGCAATATAACATTTACATATGAGAAATAACCTCATTTCTATATAAGCGAACAGGCTAGTGAAGAAAATCTGTTACCAAAAAGTGACCAGATTTCGAACCTTCTTTGAATTATAAATTATGAAAAATCAGAACTAAAAAATGATGATAACCTGTATATATTTTTAAAATCATTAAAAATCAGAGTTATACCAAAGCAACAAAATATCACAAAATGCGATTGAAGTATGAGAATCACGTGCTCGTGCATTAACGAAAAACCCAAAAACCTGCGAACAGTTTTTTTTTTTTTTAGCGACACTCGTAAAAGTTCCATCCTTTTGTCGATTCGATGTACGTACAATAAACTACACAATATAATGACTATTAAACGAGGCACCACATTTACACACTCCACTATTCAATCGCAGTTTCGTCCTTTTTTTCCGCGCAATTGATACTGTATATAGTATACTGAATGATATGTAAAAAACGTATTGTCTGGGTCATTAAAAGAGCTCATAATCCTGCGGCAGCCCCGTAAAAGTACAGATTACAGGGCTCGTATATGAGTATTCGCGGGGGAAAAAAAAAAGAAGAGACATTCCGATAGCGAAAGTTGTCCCTCGAAGACGAAAGGTTGAGTGAAGCACCAATAAAGTTCTTTCTTGGTTCTCTGATGGCTCAATATAAGTGCGTCATGAAACTCGGGGAAGCACAGATGGTGAAAATGACACGTGATATTGGTTGTTCTGGGAAATTCAGCTCAATTCTCATTTGAAATACCGTACACTAAAAACATACGCGCCTACTTTTTCTTCAAAAAAAAAAAGGTAACATAAAAATGTACTTCGTCATATCATACGAGTAAAAGAAAAAAGAGTAAAAAACAGTTAAATGTAGAAACATTTACTTGACCAATTTCGCTTTCATTAAAAACTTATTTTTCCGAGTCATCTCCTGCATCCGCTTCGCATGTTTCTTGCATCACGATTTTCATAGCGATATTTTACTGCAATTTTCAGCCATTTTGTCATAAGTTGAGCTTCATCAGGTTTCCTACCAGCAACAACAAAAATAAATAAATACAATAAGATTCCGTTTCACCATATCTGCTTATAAAAATTGTTTTCTTCATCCCGGCAGCTTCTTCGTGGGGGATAATGTTAGGAATTTTTTGTTGAAATTTTCTCTATAATCATAGAATTTTTACCTTGATTGGGCCATAAAAATGTTCAAGATGGGAAAACCCAACTGATGCCTAATTTAAAAAATCTTCAAAACTATAAATCCTAGTTTCTCAGCAGAAAAGTCAGCATTCCAGGAAGAAAATGAAGCTCTGATAAAAATGTACCGTATTTAGCTTTATTTTAAAGTTTAGAAATGGCTAATTTTTAAAAGGAAAAGTACATTTGGAAGGATACTGCTCTATATTTCAGGGAACACACAGGTCTTAATGAATATATGCTCTTCTTACACATGTATTGTCTGTTCCTTTCAGTTACCACTCTTCAGTAAGGGTGGTAAATTCTGTAGTCATATTTACGACCACAACACCCTTCACTTTACGCGTGACCCTTGTAAGCTAATG